GACGACGGCGACGATGAATTTGATCGTCAAGAAGTAGTTTTATGCTGATTGATCGAAACGACTACGACCACGACGAGAATGCAGCTGTGTGTGCTGGCTGGCCATGCTATTTCCTCTCCAACACCATTACACCTCACATAATCACGAGACACAGATCGACACTCAAGTAATCTGATGGAAGATCTGAGGAAATGTCCGGGAAAAAACATCAAAACCGTCAGTTCAAAGCCATGAAATCGACCCACACACGCCAAGCAAACAGCGCGTCGCACGAAACGCTTTATCTCCCATGTCCAGGAAAAAGTGCAATTCTCAAAAGAGGGACAGAGCTATTCCTAGGCAACAATTGAATGAAATTAATAGCAAATAAGAAACGTAAACATACCGGATCCTGTGTTGACTGGGACGTAAAACTGGCCGTTGGGGCAACGGCTGTAGGTTGTGTCGGAAAATAGGCAGACGGTGTTGATTGTTGTGTTTGTGAATCGTAGTAGAAAACTCCTAAGCCATTTAGGCCTTGCGCAGGCCCACCAGCAAACTCTGATGACGTCATAGGCGCACACTTAACAAATCGCAGCTCATTAAGCGGACTGTGCGCTAGCGTCTCGAGAGGCGTGGCACGGCTGCCGTTTCCGCCGACGGTGATTGGTTGGCGTTCGGGTGGGAGGCGGAGCCGCGACCGCCCGAACCCTCGTCGTCGCCGTCGGGGAGCTGGAGAGCGCGACGTCCGTGCCCTGCCTGACTGCCTGACGCTCGCCGTTGATATGAAATCATGACGGGAATACGGTAGGCGAAAATTTGACGAAAAACGATCGAATACATTGAAAATGAAAACGGGAAATAGGAAGGTGACAAGAAGGAAGAGAAAAAAGTGTCAGGGCAAATATCAGAGACTATTCAGGAAAGATTGAGAAAGATCCATTTATGAGCATCCCCGTGGTCTTTCGGGAAGTGTTGGTGGCCATCTTTGACCCAAAATTTCCCCTAAAGACGTAGGGAATCAAAGCCATCACAAATGTTTCGATAGAAGGTGGTATACATCGCGTAAGTCGCCTCCTTCTGAGGCAGAAGCTCCCAAATGACAGTGAATCCTCGCTGGCTATTCAGAATTTCCCTTCCCCCCTTATTCCACGTTCCCTGAAGCAGATGCTGCCAACCCGTTCCGACCCTCAAGTCCACCACTCATCCCCTCAATGTCGACTCATGCTGGCTAATCTGGCTTTAGACATGGGGAATCCGTGTAGT